AAATAGCCAGACGATGAGTGACCAATTTAATTGGATAGCTGTTAGTCAAGACACCAGGCAGGAAAAGCTCCCTTTTTACAAAGAGTGTCCAACTGAACAGGCAGAAAGGGATTACAGTTTAATGTGTCACCCAAAGAACGGCACTTCTGATTATGCAGCAATCCCCCATCACTGTCCTGGAGTGTTAGCTCAAAGATACTGATCCGGAGCTTGAACCCACAATCCGCTTGAATCAGTTCTGTCTTCAATAATACCGATTGAGCCATATCAATTCAGCCAAGTTCACACTATGCATATTACTATTTATTTATTATTTATCCAAATACTGTGCTCAAGATTCCTTGTGGAAATGCATGTGGGGTGTCATAGTTTTAATGAAAAACGTTTTAATGAAACTGGAAAGGATATCACTGCAAGTCCAAGATTCAGATCTGAACTAGTGTGTGTTGCAGAGATGAGCTATTACTGAAAATCTGTTTTGAAATGTGTCTAGGAGTGCAAGTACAGTTCTTGCAATTAATATTCTGCATTGTTAATTCTCACGAGTGGAGTTATTGCTTGCTTGTTCCATTGTGTTTGCTGGCGCTATGTGAAACTTCACTGTATCTAGTGAATTGTTTTGATTCTCGTAGCAAAGTGAAGGTTCTTTTTTCCCCCATTTATTTCTTTGGGAAGAGAGAAAGAGTGGATAATTAAATTGGATGGTTAATTGAGCAGAAAGTGGGTAATGAGTGCTGCTGTACATCCATGTCAGTGGGAAGTTTGATCACTTTGCTCTGTGATTTCGCAGGTCAGGAGGTGGGAACAGTTCTGCTCCAGATGTGGCAACAGGCACTCACTTGAGTTGTAGAGTAAATGATGAGACTATTGCTGCTGTTGTGTCCATTTTGGTTGCTATTGATCAAAACTTGCCAGTGTCTGTGCTGCTTCTAACCTTGTTCATGCATATACCTCTCTCCGAAACCGTCTGTAGGGTGTGAAGGGAAAAATTATTTTGATTAACAGCTTTCATTGACCCTTCTAAATAAAACCCTTTATAGAAGCATGTACGGTGTGAGGCTAGCATCAGGTTTTAAAAGTAAATGTGAGAGATGCCACACATATTTAGAATTTGATCTGATGATGATAAGCCTTGTATTTGATATAGTTCCTTATCATGTCTTTGAGACTTCTTAAAGCCCTTCACAGAATATATACTGTAAAGTGAATTGACTGTATATTTTGTAGGTGAAAAGCGGCAGCCAATTGTGGACAGCAGTGTCCCACAAACAGTCATGGATTGAATGACCAAATTATTATTTCTTCAAATGGACAAGCGATCCGCCAATTGACTGCTGAGATCATTTTGTCCAAAAACAGAGAAGGCATGACCTTAGGGTAGAAGATGAGGAAATAGAACTTAACATATCTAAATTCGCAGACAATACGAAGATAGGTGTGAGGATGACACACGAAGAATGCAAAGGAAAATAGACAGGCTAGGTGAGTGGGCAAGATGGTGGCAGATGGAGTATAACGTGGGGAAATGTAAAGTTATTCACCTAGTGAAAATAGAACTGCGGATTATTTTCTAGAGGAGGAGAGACGAGGTAGTGTTAGTGTTCAGAGGGATTTGGGTGTCCTTGTACACCAGTCACAAAAAGTTAGTATGCAGGTACAGCAAGCAACTAGGAAGGCTGATGCCAGGCTGGCGTTCATTGAAAACGGTCAGAGTACAAGAGTAGGGAAGTCTTGCTGCAGTTGTATAAGGCCTTGGTGAGACCGCACCTAGAATATTGTGTGCAGTTTTGGTCTCCTTATTTACGAAGGACATACTCGCCTTAGAGGGAGAGCAGCGTAGATTCACTAGGTTGGTTCCTGGGATGAGGGGGTTGACGTATGAGGATAGGTTGAGTAAACTAGGTCTGTGTTCTCTAGAATATAATAATAATAATAATCCTTGCATTTGATATAGCGCTTTTCTCGTCAGGAGGACGTCCCAAAGTGCTTCACAGAACACACTGTAAAGTGAATTGACTGTATATTTGTGGGCGAACGCGGCAGCCAATTGCGCACAGCAGTGTCCCACAAACAGTTGTAGATTGAAAATGACCAATTTATTATTGTTTTTATTTTTTGGAGGTATATATATATAAAAGAATATATATAGTGTATATATAGAAGAATTAGAGGTGATCTTATTGAAACCTATAAGATTCTTAAGGGTCTTGACAGTGTAGATGCCGTGAGATTGTTTCCGCTGCTTGGAGAATCTAAAACTAGGGGTCATAGTCTCAAGATTAAAGGTCAGCCTTTTCGAACTGTGTTGAGGAAACATTTCTTCACTCAGAGGGTAGTGAATTTGTGGCTGTGGATGCTCAGTCCTTGAACATATTCAAGACTGAGGTTGATAGATTTCTAAAGGATAGAGGAATTAAGGGATATGGGTTTAGGGTGGGTAAATGGAATTAGGTTAGAAGATCAGCCATGATCTTATCAAATAGCTGGGCATGCTCGAGGGGCCGAATGGCCTACTCCTGCACCTACGTCTTATGGTCTTAATATGGTTAGTCAGGACACTGAGAATTACTGAAGGTTCTGAGGATTCATCCACCTCCAGAATAGAGAGAAGGGCTCTCCTCTACCTCTGCAACATGCTAACCCCATACCATCTGTCCGCTCCCTCCGCTCAGTGGGTTCTGACCTGCTTCACATCCCCCACCTCATCCGCCCCACCATTGGCGGGCGGGCCTTCTGCCACACTGCCCCCACCCTCTGAAACTCCATCCCGAAGTCCCTCTGCCTCACTCCCCTCCCTTCCCACCATCAAGACCCATCGGGAGGCCCTCCTCTTCAACCGTGCTTTAGATCATCCTCCTTCCCCCCACCCTCCCCAATCCCGATCCCCAGCTCGAGTCGGAAACACTGACTGTCCATCACTCTGGGACGTCGTCCTATACAAATGTAATGTTGTTGCTGTTTAACATCTGATCTGAAGGATGGCTTTGCCAGCTCCCTGAGTACTACAGTATCACTAATGGCTCGATATCAATGTGAAATGGACTTGATTTTACACATTATGCAATTCCCAATTTAGCTGTACCATGGAGGTAACGAATGAATAAATTAACTCAGAGACAGGGATTCCTGAAGGCTGCTGAATATATGTGGTCCATACATTGGAAACGGAAATCATCTGTACATTTATCTGAGTTTCTGATACCACGTCCTAGCTGCTAGTTAGAAGCAGACTAGGAGTGGACGTTTTGTGTCGATTTCCCTTAATGTAACATTATTGTGGTTATGGTTGCATTCTCCATTTAGCATCTTGCTGGAAGGAAAAACATGTCTCATTGAGGGAGGACTAGACTTCGATTTCAAGATCCTCACCCTCGTATTCAAGTCCCTGCACTCCTCTGCACCCCCCTACCTCTCTGACCTTTCTCCTCAGCACAGTACCCCCCCTCCCCCCCTTCCCATTTTCATGTCTCTGCTGAAGACCTTTCTTTTCGACCGCGCCTTTGGTCACCTTCCTCCCCCTCCCCCTGGATCGGTTCCGGAATCCTAAACTGTAAAGCGCTCTGAGACGCCGTCGGGCGTAGAGGGTGCTATAAAAATCTAAGTTGTTGTTGTAGGACTATGCAAGTGGTTTGGATCTAAGCTTCCCCTAACTATGATTTCTAAAACATAAAATACAAAACCAAGGAGTATATTAAGATTCTTAACATTTTGGAACTGTTCAGTAATATACACTTCCCTACAAAGAAATGACGAAAAGAACACATGAATGTATATGTTTCAGCATTTGTTACAGTATAAAAGCTCTCAATAGATGAGAAATTATGTGATTTAGAAATGCTGACTGCAGTTTGGGTATTTTGTTCTATTCTGCTTAGACTGTTGGAAAGGGTTAACATTATTGCACCAGCTATTGAAGGAATAGATTTAAGGATATGTGTGGGCTGTATATGGAGCCTATTATAGAAAGTGCAGAATCCTTATGTCCTGCTGTATTGCAGTGTTCTCTATTGTTGTTACATTGAAGTTTAGAGGGGTGGAGTTTTTGAATATGAGAAAGTATATTCACTAATCAAATACTGTACTTCTGACACCCTTACTATATTAGTGAGTATCTCACTCGGGAGGAGTATGAGCAAGCTTAAGACAATCAAAGCATTATTCTTGAGTTTTTCTGCTCAGAAATAAATTGTTGGTAAAAATTCAAAGGTTTCTGTTTGGTTGTTCAAGGTGTTTGAAGCTCAGATGTTGAAAATCTGAAGTGATCTGGATTGTTGAAGTAGAATAATTGCATGAGTTTTGAGTACCTAATAATACCATAGCATCTCACTGGAACCATCTGATTCACTTCTAATTTTAATACAACACTTCTCTATTAATAAGAGTCCAATAAACTATGTATAAAACCCTTCAGAAATGAATCCTTCTGTGCAGCTCACTCTGTCCTTCACTGTAACCTACTCTGGTGCCTTGTTAACAGCCATCACTAACAAAGAAATTCTCTTCATTTCTAATGCCACCAGCTCTGATGTACAAAGCCTTTGTCTCTCTGATCTAAAGCAGTCCTCATCATGTCCTCTCATATACCACAACTCCTGGTAACACATACCATGCTCCCACTGGAAACCACATTCTCTGTATACTATTATTAAAAGCGAAACCATTAAACTCAAATTTGTGTTTCCCAAAAGGGTGAGGAATTTTGAGAAGTTACAGTATAGTAATTTGGATCTAAAAACTTTTTTTTAAAAAAAGAACCTCTGTGAAAATACTAAGTGTAGAGAATGATATATGATAACATTTGTATGTTTTGCTTATGTGATAATCTGCTGTAAAATCCATTTTACAAATATGGTGTTAATAACATTTTGCTCAGAAATGCTAATTCTAGGCCACATGCCTTACTATATAATGGTTTCAGTATCTAAAGTGTTTTTTTTAAATAATCTGTGCAGATCCCCGAATACCTATTGATTATCCTACATTATTCCTTTCTTTTACAGTTTCCCTCATGTCAATGATCTGCACTCGACACTGTGGCTCCCCAGCCTCGGTGTGGTCAGGCACTGTGCTTCGGACCCCGTGATAAACACAACTTGGTGTTGGACGTCATGAGCATAGTAATTCCATTGGGAGTTACCACACCAGATACTTCATACTCTGATATGGCTGCTGGATCAGAGTAAGTACTTTGCTGATGCTGGCTGGAGGGGTTGGTTTTGTTTATTGAGGATTTTAATTAACAAAGGAATAACTGCGGAATAAGATTATACGTATCTGTGTTTTTCACTTAAGTTTGAAGGATAGAGTCTTCAAGGGCCTTATCCTCAATATTCTTTAAATGAAACCAGATTGGAGACCTGTGTTCTGTCGTGTTGCTAAACTTTTGTACACTGTTTACATGATTAATATTGCTTGATATTTCTAATCCATTTAGATCTATTTTTAAATTAATTCCCAATGATATTTGTTTAAAAGTGTAATTGTGTTCTACATGTGCATTTCAACTGTACAGAAGATGTTTGCTGTAAACAATGAATGTGCAGTATTTGATCAAAGCCTTGCACTATGAAGCTTGGGTTGCTGGCATTGTACGCCCTGATATTCCAGGATATCTGTCTGGAAAGAATTTTACTTGGTAGAATAACAAGATCTGAAATAAATCTGGTATCTCTGTGTTGTGGGAATCCTGATTTTTATTTAAGTGAGAGGTAATCAATGAGTGGGTAAGAAAAGCACAGACTGTACTCATATCAAGTCTATATTTCTGGAGGCTATAACCATATTGGTACTTTTCAAAGTGGTATGGTAATTATCAATTTATTCAGTCAATTTATTTTTCCAGCAGGGGAATGGTTTTTAACCAGAATTAAATGGTAAGAAAGTGAAGATTCTCTATAAATGCTGGTGGCAATCTGTTGTGTTCAACGATTGATGATAGAGATTAGTAGGAAAAACTTGCACTTTTATAGTCTCCAATTGCATCAGAACACCAACAACAACAAAATTACATTTGTATAGCGCCTTTCACGTCAGAAGAACGTCCCAAGGTGCTGGACATAAGAGAGTTTTGGACCCGAGCTGGGTTCGGGGAAGGTGGCGGGTCGAGGGCTGGGGGGGAAGCAGGGAGATCGAAACATATCAAAACGCTTTAGAGTACAGTAAACTCCCTGCTTCATGGACTCTGGATATCTGGAAATTGGACTAAGCTGGACTGGGCCCAAAACAGAAGTAAAAAAAATCCACGGCTTGCGGATAGATTCCAGCCTGTGCTCACTCCACAATGAGCCTCCGCCCTATGCTCACTGTGATCACTGACCTTCGGTGGGCCAGGGTCCTTTACTCCGTTTGAATCCCATAAGCAGAAGCTAGCTTATATGCCACCTTTGGCTCGTGGGATTCAAACAATTACAATACTGACGAGTGTACTCACTAATTTTTTTGTCAGCAAACATTGTAGCACAGCATGCAGCAAGGTTGCCCAAAGAGCCTTTTTTTGGTCAGCCAGCTTTCCACTGCTTATCCAGCTAGAACCAGGGTTAAAAGGGACCTGCGTGCAAGCTTCTGTTGGGAGATTGGGGAGTTGAACCCCAAAGAGATTTTCCAATTTATCTGACGGATTATTTATTGGCCAGGACACTGAGAGAAACTTCTCTTTTTCAATAATGAACACCTTGGTTTAACATCTCATTCAAAGGGCATCTCTGACAGTGCAGTGATCCCCCAGTATTGGGCTAGAGTCTCAACCTTGACTGTCAGCTCAAGTTCTGGTTCAAGACTTGAACCAACAAACCTCTGAACAAGAAGTATCTTGACTTCACACAGCACTGTTATTGTGTTCGGGGTGAGTTTGCAGTACTTAGAGAGGAAAACAGATTGGACCAAAAACTAATAATTGTATTCTCTAAAAGACTTCTTTTGAGTTGGGTGTTCAAAGTTTAATAAGAACACTTTGATGCAGTGCTTGATACCAATTGTATAATTTAATCTTTTTGAAGCAACTTGATGACTCAACGGTGGATGTTGCAAGATTATTGAGTGGCCTGGGAGGTGTAGGAAATTGGTATTCTGTCCTTCTTTGATATCAGGACTTACACCCCAACTCAGCCAGCTAAAGTTTTCACATGTAACATGTCGCTTACCCAGTCGAATCACACAATTTGGGGTTTGGTTTCGCTTCACCGAAATTTTTTAATTGTGAAGCCTTTGACTGCAGCGCTTCTGCACCAGGCTCTGCATGTCATGATCGCCATCCTCGCCATCCTGCGAGTCTACTTCCCACAGCCACTACCTCCACTCCCAACTTAACCTGCTTCTCCCCCTCCACCCCTGCTCTACCATCAGTGTGCCAATCTTCTGCCACTTAGCCCCCATCCTCTGGAGCTCTCTCAAAATCCCTACACCTTGCCCCTTCGTCCTACAAAAATACCAAATTACACTTGTATACACGTCGGAAAGACGTCCCAGGGTGCTGGACAGTCGGGGGTTTTTGGAAACCCGAGCTGGGAGTTGGGGTCAGAAGGGGTGGATGGCAGGGGGCGTGGAGGTGGGAAGGTAGCCGAAGGCACGGTCGAAGAGGAAGGTCTTGAGACAGGACTTGAAAGAGGGAATAGAGGGGGTGAGACAGAGAGATTGCTGGATAGAATTCTAGATTGTGGGACCACAGATGCTGAATGCCCAACTGCCAATGGTGGGCCAGGAAGTGTGGGGGACATGAATCGAGACGATGTCCGCCGAGCGGAGGGAGCAGATAGGCTGATATGGGGTTAAGAGTTGGAGAGGTCGGGGGGAGCAAGATCGTGGATGGCCTTGAAGGTGAGAACAAGGATTTTGTATTTGATTCTCTGAGGGATGGGGAGCCAGTGATGCCGGGCAAGAACTTGGGTGATTGGTTTGCAGAGCATAGTGCAGGAGAGGACATGAGTTGCAGAGTTCTGAATAATCTGCAACTTGTGGAGGGAAGAGTTGGGAAGTCCAGGGAGCAGGCAGTTGGCGTAGTCAAGCCGGGTCGTGATGAAAGCGTGAATCAGGATCACCGGTGGCCTACGGTGAGAAGCATTGGTGGAGGTGGTCAATGTTGCGGAGGTGGGAAATGGCGGAATGGAACGAATGTGGGGTTTGAAGGATAGCTGAAAGTCGAAAAGGACACCAAGGTTTGATTTTGGCTCGGTGAGGTAAAGAGTGCAGCCATGGATATTGATAATGTCAGAGGCTGAGATGAGAACACACTGCGGGAGCCAAGCAGGGGGTTCTCTGTCTTGCCAACATTGAACTGGAGAAAGTTAGCTCTCGTCCAGGAATTGATGTCAGACAGACAATTAGCTGGGACATCAACGGTCCTGGAATCGAGGGTGGAGGTGGTGAGACAGAGTTGGGTGTCATCCACGTACATGTGGAAATTAACCCCATGTCTGCGGGTGACATCACCGAATGGGACCATGTATGGATTGAAGAGGAGGGGCCTGAGGACAGACCCCTGAGGGACGCCACACATGACAAGTGCGGGAGCTAGAGGAGAAGCCGTTGGTAGCCACGAAGTGCAGACGGTTGGAAAGGTAGGATTGGAGCCAGGAAAGAACAGAACCATTGAGGTGGAGGTGAGAGAAGAAGCAGTGGAGAAGAATAGAGTAGTCAACAGTACCAAAAGTGGTCGAGAAGGATGAGGAGACAGAGAGCCCTGGTTGCAGGTGGACAGAATGTCATTTGTCACTTTGGTCAGGGCTGTCTCTGTGCTGTGCCATCACGAAACCCAGATTGGAGAGGTTCATGGAGGAACGCTGGAGAAGAAGAGCGAAGCTGGGATGCGACGACTCGTTCCATGACCTTGGAAAGAAAAGGAAAGTTTGAGAGGGGGTGGCAGTTGGAGAGCAGAGATAAGTCAACAGAAGGTTTTTTGAGGGTAGAGGTGATGACGGCTATCTTTAGCGGATGTGTACGGTGCCAGTGGACAGGGAGAGATTCACAATGTCTGTTAGTAGGGGGGGCAAAGAGGTGGAGTTGGGAGATGAGGAGAGGGGTCAAGGGAGCAGGTGGTGGGTTTCACATGGGAAATGATGGAGGTGAAGAGGGAGAGACGGGGTCAAAAGTGTGGAGGGAGGGGTGGGTGGGGGCTGGAAGGGGAACGAGAGGTGGGGATGGGGTGGCAGTAGAGGTGGTAGTGTGAATCCCCTCGACTTTGGACTCGGAAATCCATCTCTTTGCATTTGGTGTTGGAGGAGAGGATGGCATGGGAGGGTGGATGGAGGTGTTGGTTAATGGTAGAAAAGAGGAGTCTGGGATTGTCCTTAGCTTCCACTATAGTCGTCTTCCCACACCTTAGCTCCCTCCCAGCTCAGGCTCTCACTCAGCTTCTGTAAAAACGTTTTGACGTTCAACCAACATGAAAGTCACCATATAAATGTAAATTGTTGGTGTGGTGGCTTAGCTTTCAGCTCTCGAATTCTTCCACAAACACTTCATCTTTGTGCATTTTCTCCTTGCCTACTGTTTGATTTTGCATCGAGACAACAGCCTCGTGGTCCACCTCTTTCTGCTTGGTGATCCCATCTTTGTGAAGCACATTGAGAGGTTATCCTAAGTGAAAGGCACAATAGAAGTTCAGGTTTGTTGCTGAGTGACACCAGGTACCTGCACCATCACTTGAGTTTTGATCTTCGTGCAGCCTAAAAAGTAGCATCAGAAGCAGGAAAGTTGCAGACTTGAAATGGTGACAGCTAAAGCTCATATTTCTCCCTCACATACCAGGAATTGGTTCAGTTTAGTTTGCTCTGTTGATCTAGACTGAACCCAGTCTATTAATAAACGCAAAACTTAACACATTATCTTGGCACCAACTCCTAAACCAGAAGGAAGAGGACTTGGTGTTTTTAATCTAGAGTCAATGGATTCATACCACGTCAGGATCCTATTTCAACTGGAACTAGCATCTGCTCCAAATTTCAATCAATATTGTAAACCAGGGCTTTGGAACAAAATTAGTCTGTTCACATAACGTGCTGGATGAAATGCCTGGCCCTGATTTATTTGTACTCTTACCAGTTGTAAATATATACGTTAATTTGGGAAAAAAGCTGGTTAATCCGTGCAAAATGCTTGGTCACCGCTGAATATACATGCTCAGGCCTTCTGCATCATGTTTTCATCTACGAGGGATTCTGGGATGTAGATGGGAGGAGTCAAATT